CATGATCGCCTTTTGTTTACACCTGGTATTATATGGGTGGCTTGCTAGAATGCCAAATAAACTAACCATCTTCTTGTACTAAATGACAACAACAAACTTGTTAGTGTTTAAGGGTTTAACAGATAAGCAATTGCACGTTTGAGATGCAATGCACCTGAAAAATTAAAGGTTTCTATTATGTATTTGAACGGTTGCATATTTCATCCTGGACTTAACTAACTCTTTTCACTTTGCACTTTCTCTTCTCTCTTTTTCTTTCTTTCTCACTACTGCCCTCATTCATCCATTATTTATTTTCCCACTCGGTTCTTGTCGCTCCCTTTTTTTTTGCTCTCGCTTTTGTTCTCTTGTTTTGCCACTCTCTCTCTCTCCACTTGATTTTCTTTCCTCTTTTCATTTTATGGTTCTGATTGAATCCTATAGGGATTGCCTACGTATCATGACATCGCATGAATCATATCATTACGTAGTTCGGGAGATAAATGTGAAATAAGAGAAAGAAATATTTTTGGGTTTTCAAAATTTCATAAAAATAATACATTCTGATTTTCCTCTATTACAACAACTCCATCATACAAACTTAAACATTGAAAAAACAAGACTCAAAATGGACTAACATACTCCAAAAGAAACTAAAATACAAACTCGAAAATAAAATTAGGAATACATAAGTGCCTCTAATACTGCTCCAAAGGCCCGCGGGACATCAGTCGGTCTCGCCGAGGGCCTACGTGCCATATCTTCTTGGAGGTGAAATAGGTCATCAATTATCTGACGGACAAAAATCATTGCAGTGAAGAACAAGGACCCGGTCATGTCCTCGCATTCATTGCACTTCATCACAATATGGTCTGCCATTCTTCTACTCCTCTCCCTGATGACGCCCTTCTCTTGGAGCAAACGTCTAATTTGTTGAGATATGGTCTCCAAAACTTGTGTGGCCATATGATTTTGCTTTTACAATTGCTGTAGGTCCTCCTCTAGTTGTGACATCAATGCATATTAGTGCTCTCTTTCTGCTTTGAACTTCTTTGCTTGCTTGGTCATTTCACTCTCAAGGGTATTGATCTTTTTCTTCAGACTTGTGATTCCTTCGTCGTACTTCTCCTTCAACTGTTGAACGAAACTTGCCCGTTCTTTCGCATTCCTGGCCAACATTGATCGGGCCTTTGCTAGTTCACCCTCAGTCTTTTCCAAATCAACCCCATAGTCACATACTTTCCGCCTAAGATCGTTTATAAGTCTTTCATCTGTTCTGCTCCTCTCCGGGTTTTCAGCAACTACCTTCATCCTTTGAATCTGGGCTCGGAGGGCCTCATTTTCTCGGGCCAACTTTTTCTTCTCTCCTTCATCAGCGGCAGCCTACACACTACTACCAAATTTAAGATCTCTAATTTGCCCTTCTAATCTGCTTATCGTAACCCTGTATCTTTTCTCCTTTGCTAACCAATCCCATTGTTCTTGTGCCCCATCAGTGAACTGTTGTACGTGGGGACTTTTGGCGGGCCGTTCAGGCTCTTGATGGGCTTGAACCCTTTTACCATACCAGACCGTGTATCTAGACTCTACCTCACCCTTGGACAAATCTCGTACTTGAGTTTGTGGCTTCAGGAACCTACACTGATGCCAAATCTAGCGAACTTTTTCTTCCGGGAATGCTGCTTTTGGACCTAGTTCAATAACTTGTCGACTCAAATCTTCATCATGAGGGACAGTTTGGTACCTGCCCAGTTGGCGTAGAACCCTGTTTTCATGTTCTTCAATGCAGTTAAGACCAGTCAGACCATAGTTCATGTACCCCGAACGATGACAAATGTGTTCTTCCATCCAGAGTTGTAAAAGCATGTTGCAACCCTCAAAAAAATTTCCCACTGCTTGGCAAACAGTTAGGGCTCGATAAATTTATGCTAGGATCATTGGTATAATAGTGCCATTAGTCTTTTTGATCATGAAGTCAGTCTTTCCTACGAGCCCCAACTCTATATGTCCATCACCTCTCGGGCAGATTAGGGTGCCTAAGAATGCCACTATAAAGGCCAGTCCCCGACGTGCTTCCCATTTGCCTTTATTCCCTTAATGAATTAAATCGGTATCCGGAGCCTCAAAACCATGGGGGTCCCCATAGCGGCGGCATGGGAAGTAAAATATGCAAAATCCTTTAGCCAAATTTCCATCTTTGACTTCCCGACTAATACTTAGAAGATCCAGAAACTTGTGAGGGGTTCCAGCTCTTGGTGCCACTAGGTATCGGCTCCTGAGATTTCCGTTAAAGCCAGCATAGCCTGCTATCTCCTCAAGTGTAGGGGTTAATTAAAAATCAGAGAAATGGAAAATATTGTGCGCCGGGTCCCAAAATGGTATTAAAGCTTCAATTATGTCCAACCTTGATTTAATCTTCAAGAGACCAATGATCCAGCCTAAAGCTTTTATTGCAACACCTCTACTGACTTCCCCCAGATCATTCCACCACATATGGAGTCCTATCGGGATTTCTTCTACAACTTTGAAAGGTTCATTTTCAATAGTGCTCAACTTGCACATTTATTTAAAGTGACCGGTTAAAAAAACCATGATTTATTTTGACCCAAAAGGAAGATTATTATTTTTTTGCAAAATTTCAACTCAAACAACTTGCTCAAAACGAAACACCTTTGCGAATATGGCCCTTTAGCACTTCAGGAAGGAAAATTTTAGGGCTATGTTCGCTAATTGGCCAGAAATTTGAAAAAGGACCATAGGTGGCTATTCATGCAAAAACAGCCTTCCCGCGCCCTGTCGGGACATTTCTGGCTATTTAGACAAAAACGGCATCGCCTAACTTTATTTGTGACAAAAATGGCAATATTTCACGTTTTTGGTTATTATTGTTTTTTGCAAAAGCAGGGCTGGACCGGATGAGGGTCGCCTACGTATCCCACATCCGGTGAGAATAAAACCCGCGTAGTTCGGTTAGTTTTGACGCCAAAGAAAAATATAAACACTTTGAAATAACTTTCCCCTTTTTTTCTTTTTGTTTTTCAAAAATTCCGGCAGAGCTTCGAGATATTTTGGACACCAGATTTTTTCAAAGGCGGGTAATTTCCTCTCATCTACCTCAATTTGATTTTTCTCAATTTTTCTTCCTTATTCTAGAAGTCGGTCAACATGCAATACGAATCAAATGAATGTATAATTAGCACGTAGAATGCATCAGGATGGTTTTTTATTTCGGGTACACTTGTTCTAGATGGACCTAACCCCCGTGTTGAGTCCCCAAAGTCAAATGCACGTGATGCAAACAAGCGTTCCTACTAGGGATCCATCTTTAGGCTATGTTATTCTAAGTTAATAACCTGGGTGTATTTGTTCTAGACCTGGCTTACTCGAGCGGACAGCTCGAGCCGAGGGGGTACAGCATACTGGGTTCTAAAATTGGGATATGACTCTAATAGAAAAGAAGTCACACGAAGTTCACACTTCCCAGATGATTTAGAAGATTCAGAGAGAAGAGGGTTTCGTAACAGTTTATATACAGTTCAAACAATATCAAAGAGGTAAAAAACGTCATTTAGCACATTAGGCTCAAACATATAAAAATCAGATAATAAATAAAGCCAACTATAATAGTTATTCTAAGCTCGAATTCTTGAACCCTGAACCAGAAGTTCCGGGTTCTTGGTCCCCAGTAGAGTCGCCCAAGCTGTCACACCTCCCTTTTCCACCCAAAAGGGGTATAGGGGAGTTTTTCCAATTAAAGTGACAAAATTGAAACGAGATTATTTATTCAAATTCAGAGTCGCCACTTGGGATAATTTATGGTGTCCCAAGTCACCAGTTTAAAATCCCGAATCGAGGAAGTTTGACTCTTATTTATGGTCTGCAAACACAGTAATCCGGGTAAGAAATTCTGTAAACCCGGGAAAAGGTGTTAGGCATTCCCGAGTTCCATGGTTTTAGCTCAGTCGCTCAACTGTTATTAATGGCCTAATTTATCTGATTAATTACACATTTTAAATCTACGTGCATTTTTCACTTTCTAACCGCTTTTAGTGTTTATGAATTTATTCACGATCGTCGTACACTTATTTATTTTAGAGCACATCGTAAACCACGCTACATGAAATGCACCCGTGGTTCGTGACATGCTTATTTTATTAAAAAATTGTTAGAAATTGTGGTCGGGTCACATAAAATGTACAGCAGGATTTGAAAATTACGTATAACAACTACGTCACGGAAACCGTACCCATAACTATGAAGATTTATTATAGCGCGCCTAAAGCAAACTAACGAATGTTCAGGGTTGTGTAGTTCTTAATGCGGTGATTGTGGGCAAGAAGGAGCCCGAGATTATGGAGTACTTTTACTAAATTTCAAGCTCATTCCTTTTTAAGCTTTTAAATTCATACATTTGACCAAGCCCAATTCTAAAACATGCATACCAATTAACCACTAATGGGCTTTGATCATACCACAATTCTCACTGCCCAACCATCACTTAACTCTACTCTAGCAAAGCAACCGTCCAAGTACACAAAGCATGGAGAATTAACTAATCAAGCCAACAAAATAGCCAGAATACATGAAGCAAACAAATGACGAAAGAAAGTAACTATTAAATAAGGTAAGGCGAAGAAAGTGAATTAAAACATGATGAGACCCACTTTAAGATTTTCTCTAAACCCATTCCTGTTATTTTATTTCTCAACCCCAAAGACCATGCTACAAGGAAAGGGGAGGAATGTGATTCATCACCAAATTTCGAACTACTTTCAACTAAAATAGAGCAATAACATGACAGAACACTTCACAAACATAAGAGCCCTTGCAATCCCTTAACTGTAACAAGAGTCATGAAGGAACACAAATATCAATAGCAACAAACTAGAATAAAATTGTGAACTAAAAGATCCAATAGCTACCATTAAGTCAATTCGATCATACTAACTATACATAAATGCTAAGGAAACAAATAAGAGAGTTGATTTAGTGATTGAACATAGAGCTTCTTTTCCTAAGAGTACACAAAACTTGGACCTCAGAATAGATCCATCAACTTTCCCCACATGAATCATTACCAACACATTAATCAATATCCAATTCGATGAGCAGACAAGGACGAGCTGTTTATACATTGTCTTCAACGAACTAAATTCTCACGCAAATCCAGTACATAAAATAAACTATTAAGCATTTGTTATTGAACAACCAACTAACCATTGAATAAAACAGCAAGCTTATCATTTTTAAGTAAGAGCTAAAAAAGAAAAGAAAGAAAAAGAGTTTAATAGCTTAAAAGAACATGAATGTTGAAATTTAACATGAGCAACTCCATTAATTTCAGCATGAATATATCTTCCATACAAGCATGTTCACGTTCCATTGCCATTCATGATTCAAAAAGTACCTGGATACAACATGTAAACAGAATGAGAAAGGGTATCTCTAAGATCAGTAAAAGATAGCAGAAAACAGTTGAATCAGTAGCAAAATGTCAGCTCATATCTCAGCTCATGAACCCAGAAATTCAAAGAAAACCCCTTCCAAACTTTTGTAAATAGAAAGGAAATCAGAAAATTGGAAGCTGGATTTTTCAGAAGATTTTCAGGTCTCTTCTTCTCGTCCCCTCAATGAATGAGAAGGATTTTTTTATAGGCAATTCTAGGGAAGCCCTATCCTGATTTTAATTCACTATTTACCCTTCACACTTTGATATTTTACCTCCTAGACCCTAAAAATAACCGAGCTGTCTTTATTTTTTTGCATGCAAACCTCACCTTATCCTGACACCCCTGTATTTACTTCCCAAACTAGTACCAAACTGCGCCATCTGACCCAAAACTCAAGCCCAAACCAATGGGCTTTCTACTTCCCAAGCCAGTAACACACATGATTTCAAACCAGTGGGCTATAACACACATTATTTCAAATGAAGATCAAATGACAAACATGTAAATTTTAAATGCCAAAATGATTGAACTAGATATGATGCTAAAGAACTATAAGTTCAGCTCATTAATTAATGAAACAGAAAAGCCTAATCAGAACAAAAATTAAATGAAAATGCACAACGGAAGAAAACAAAATTTTAACAGTGGTTAAAAGAACACTATTTTTTAAATTATTTTATGAAAACACAATGTTAGAACAAACACAATCAACAAGACAAGATAGAAGGGATAAGAGAATACCCAAGAAAAAGGATGGACTGAAGTAAAACTCTGAAGACTTGGAGTGAACAACAACCATCGTCAATTGATTGTTCTTTTCAAGAAAACTCCATTGACGTAAGTTCTAGGTCACAATGACTAGCTATGAGCAAAGGAATCAGAAAGGGGGGAAAACAAATTAGGTTTATTTTGCTGGACTTTTAGATCCGAAATTAGAAGGATTTGGTGGGGATTTAGGGGAAACTAGTGGTGGATTTGGAAAGAGGGGGGAATGGTGATTACATGGTGACAATTAGGGCGAGTTTGGAACGCCACCGCCGCCGTGAGACGATTTCCGGCGGGCAGCGGCTGGTGGTGAGGGAATAGAGATTGAGGATGGCTAGGGTTTGCAACTTTGGAGAGATGGAGGGGAAATGGGGAGGGGTCTCTAGGTTTAGGGGTATGGTTAGGACAATTATATGTAAAGGGGTAGGCTAGTTCCAGTCCGTTAGATCAAGGGTGATCAATGGCTGGGATTGATTGTTACTGAAACGACGCCGTTTTGGTTAATTTATGGGTGCTGGACTGGGCAGGTGTTGGGCTGGTTGATTATTGGGGGAAATTTTGGGCTTTGAAACAGGTTTGGCCCAATTCGAGTCCAAACATGCCTTCTTTCTTTTCTCTTCCTTGAATTGATTTAATTCTTTTAATTTCATTTTTTTAAATATTAATGAACTTAATTAAACCTAAATTAAATCCTATACAAGACCTAATAATAAAATTGACTTAATTATCTAATTCTAACACTAAAATAATTAATTGATTTAGAACTAATGCAAGAAATGTACTAATTTATAAAACTGAAGCTAAAATGTGGAATAATCTATATTTTATACTTTTGTTTATTAATGCAATTAATTAACAACTAAATTAAAAATGCAACTATGAACCCTAGAATGCATGAGACTTAAATGTATATTTTTCGGGTATTTTCTATGCTTTTAATACATACAAAAAATGCAACAGAAATGCAAACAATTAAACAAATATTCCTAAAATTTTATAAAAAAATTAAAATGAACTACAAAAATCTATTGTGTGATTTTTGTAGGAGCATTTTGATCGGGAAAAAATCATGTGCTCACGCGAGGTAGAGGCATTAATGGTGGAGGTCAGACCGCTAGAGGTGGAGGCCAACAAGACAGGGCCCGTCCTCGAGATGTAGTTTAGAGTGGTGGACCCAAGCCCCGATGCTATGCTATTCCAGCCAGACTTGAGGTTGAGTCATCTGACGCGGTTATCATAGGTACCTGTTTCAGTTTGTAGTAGAGATGCCTCAGTTCTATTTGATCCGGGTTTTACTTATTCATATGTGTCATCCTATTTTGCTCCCTATTTGGCTGTGTCTCGTGATTCTTTGAGTTCTACAGTGTATGTGTCCAAACCTGTGGGAGATTTTAGTATTGTAGATCATGTTTATCATTCATGTGTGTTTGTCATTGGAGGTCTTGAGACCAGCGCAGATCTTTTGCTTCTCGATATGGTTTATTTTTACGTTATATTGGGTATGGATTGGCTATAACCTTACCATGCTATATTGGACTGTCACGCCAAGACAGTGACCTTAGCCTTGCCAGGTTTGCCTCGATTATAGTGGAGGGGGACTCCTGGTCATTTCTCCAGTAGGGTTATCTCTTATATGAAGGATCAGTATATGGTCGAGAAGGGGTGTTTAGCTTATTTGGCTTATGTTCATGATTCTAGTCAAGAGATTCCTTCCATGGATTATGTACCAGTTGTTTTTGAGTTTTCAGAGGTATTTCTTGCAGACTTGCCGGGGATGCCACCTGACAGGGATATTGACTTTTGTATTGATTTGGCTCCGGGCACTCAACCCATTTCTATTCCGCCATACTGTATGGCCCCACCAGAGTTGATGGAATTGAAGGATCAGTTGCAAGATTTGCCTTATAAGGGCTTTATTAGACCTAGCATCTCGCCCTGGGGTGCAATGGTGTTGTTTGTAAAGAAGAAGGATAGATCGATGAGGATGTGCATAGATTATCGGCAGTTCAACAAGGTCACCATCAAGAACAAGTATCCATTTCCGAGGATTGATGACTTATTTGATCAGCTTTAGGGTGCCAAAGTATTTTCGAAGATTGATTTGAGATCTGGCTACCATCAACTGAGGATTAGGGCATCCAATGTCGCTAAGACAACTTTTTGGACTCGGTATGGGCATTATGAGTTTTTAGTGATGTTATTTGGGCTGAGAAATGCCCAACATCGTTCATGGATTTGATGAACCAAGTGTTCAAGCCTTATCTGGATTCCTTTGTGATTGTCTTCATTGATGATAGTTTGATATACTCCCATAGTCGAGGGGAGCATGAGTAGCATATTTGGTTGAGTTTTGTTGATTTCTTGGGTCATGTTGTATCGGCAGAGGGTATTCAGGTGGATCTAAAGAAGATTGAGGCAGTCAAGAACTGGCCAAGACGCACGTCAGCTACAGAGATCTGTAGTTTCTTAGGATCGGAAGGCTATTACCGTCGGTTTGTAGAGGGATTTTCATCTATAGCAGCCCCGATGACCGGGTTGACCCAGAAGGGTGCCCCGTTCACATGGTCACACAAGTGTGAGGCAAGTTTTAAGAAGCTCAAGACTGCTTTGACTGCGGTGCTAATGTTAGTGTTGCCCACATGTTCAGGACCTTATACCATATATTCTAATGCATCTCGTATTGGACTTGGTGCAGTATTGATGTAGGGTGGCAAGGTTATTGCATATGCTTCGCGATAGCTGAAGATTCATGAGAAGAATAACCTAGTTCATGACTTAGATTTGGCAGCCATTGTTCACACGTTGAAGGTTTGGAGGCACTATCTATATGGCGTGTCATGTGAGGTGTTCACGGATCATAAGAGTTTGCAGTATTTTTTCAAACAAAAGGAGCACAATTTGAGATAGAGGAGGTGGTTGGAGCTATTAAAAGATTATGATATCACCATCTTGTATCATCCCGAGAAGGCCAGTGTGGTGGCTGATACTTTGAGTAGGAAGTCAACCAGTATGGACAACCTTGCTTATATTCCAGTCGGTGAGAGACCACTTGCATTAGATGTTCAGGCTTTGGCTAATCAGTTTGTGAGGTTGGATATTTCTGAGCCTAGTCGTGTTTTGGATTGCATAGTCGCTCGATCTTCTTTCTTTGAGCGTATCAGGGAGCGACAGTATGATGATCCTCATTCGATTGTCTTTAGGGACATAGTGCGGTACGGAGATGCCAAGCATGTTATAGTGGGAGATGATGGAGTTATGAGGATGTAGGGTCGTGTTTGTGTGCATAATGCGGATGGGCTTCGTGAGTTGATTCTAGAGAAGGCCCATAGTTTCCGGTATTTTATTAATCCGGGTGCCTCCAAGATGTATCAGAACTTGCGAAAACATTATTAGTGGAGGAGGATGAAGAAGGATATAGTTGCACATGTAGCTCGGTGTTTGAATTGTCAGCAAGTAAAGTACAAGCATCAGAGGCCTGGTGGTTTGTTTTAGAGGATTGAGATTCCCGAGTGGAAGTGGGAACGTATCACTATGGATTTTATTGTTGGACTCCCACGGACTCAGAGGAAGATTGATGCAGTTTGGGTCATTGTGAACAGATTGACCAAGTCAGCGCATTTCATTCCAGTGGCATTTTCCTATTTTTCAGAGCGGCTGGTAGAGATTTGTCTTCACAGTGTGCCAGTGTATATCATTTCTGATCGAGGTACGCAGTTCACCTCGCATTTATGGAGGGAAATACAGTGTGAGTTGGGTACATATGTCGAACTGAGCATATATTTCACCCTTAGACGGACAGTTAGTCTGAGCATACTAATGTGCCAGAGAATTTCGGCACATTTCAATGCAAATTGCTTAGGTTTTAGCTTGTTTTGAATGCAATTATAGCCTATACTTATGTATTTTTAGTGTGTTTGCAGTACATGAGGTTTAAGGACCCAAGAGCATGGAAATAAAAGCAAAAAGCCACGAAAAGACAAGAAAAGAGCAAAATGCAGCACAAATGTGGAAATGCGGTGAAAGATGCGATCACAAATCCTACATAAGAGCCGCATAATGTGCAAAGGATCGCAAACCAAAACAAAATGTTGGCCAAAATCCAGTGCAAGAAATGCGGACCAGAATGTGATCGCATAACAGGTTTGCGGACCGCATAATGGACCGCCAACTCATGGAGAGAAATGTTGATGGTGGAAAATGCGACGCAGAATGCAATCGCATATCTGGAATGCAGACTGCAAATCCACAATGCGATGACGGCCTGGAAAGTAGGGTTCTGAAGTGCGATGGGCATAAAGAGAATGCGGACTGCATGTCTGTTATGCGACGGAAATGCGGTAGCATATTTGACATGAAAGGGGCATTTTTGTCCGTTTTCTGTCCCGAATTTTGGCCCTCTATAAATAGATTTATTGTGATTTTGTGGGAGCATCTTGTCAGATTTTGGGAGCTATTGTCCAAGGCCTTATTATTCCTCTCTTTTGGAAGATTTTGAAGGAAGAATCTTGCACTTTGTAAGCTTTAGGGTATTCAATATTTTCATCCTTTTGTATTGTAGTATGTGTAGCTAATTCTAAATACTAAGGTTGTGGACCCTAAATGGGTGTTATGTTAATGGGTGTTTAACATTGAAGATATATATAATGGTTGGTTGATATTTATTGACTTCTCATTCTTCATTTATTGTTGATGGTTGCAAACATTAACAAATGCCACTAAATTCTTGCTTTGCTTGGGAAAGTGGGTTAGAATTTGGTAGAAGTAAATATCAAAGACTCAAGGCTTTACACCTTATTTAATGGAATCTCTTAGGAATAAGTGTGTTTTATTTGGCATATATTGATTGTTTTTAATTGCAACTCTTTTATATTTTGAAAAATCATAAAGAGGAAATACTACCCAACTATTGAAAAATACTGGGTAGTCATTTAGACATTATTTTCATATCAAAAGGACTTTCCATTAAGAATATATCATATTAACACCGATAGCATTACACTTCAGTAAAGGGGGCACAACCTTGGTTTTGTCTAATCAAATTATTTACATTCTCAACATTACAATTAGTCATTACTACAAACCAAAATCATTCCATACTCTTGTTACCATTAACTAAATAGAATGACGACTTTAGTTAAGTAACACACTATTTGAGTAACCTTTTCACACCTATTCCCTGTGGGCTTCGACACCAACCTTGTTGGGTTATTATATTTGACACCGACCGTCGTACACTATTTATTAAAGTGTAATTTGAGCATATCAAATTTTGGCGCCGTTGCCAGGGAAAACGGTTTTGAAATTACTAATTAGTGTGTGCTTTGCTTTACGTCTTATTCTATTCCATCACGCTTTGCTTGTTTTGCTTGCTGTTGATAGGAAATCATGGCCGAATATGAAGAAGAAATGGAGGCGGAAATAGAAGAAAATCATTTTGTGGACATAGAGGAGTACATTGAGGATACAAATGCTATTGTACCTCCAGTCGTTAGCGCTGAAACTTTCAAGGTGGAACATGGTTTAATCCTTATGCTCAAAGTAGAGGGGTTTTTCAAGAATTCTACTGATGATGATCCAACACAACATCTTAGAAACTTCTTGGGCGTATGTGCGATGCACAAGCAAAACAACTTTACTGATGATGCCCTATGGTTGAGGTGCTTCAAGTACTCACTAGCTGGAGACGCGAGGAATGACTTCAGAATTTGCCACCAAACTCTATTCATTCTTGGCCCGAACTTGTCCGAGTATTCTTAGCTAAATGGTTCCCGCAAAAGTAAGAAATCTAAGATCCGGGATAAAATATTCTTTTTCAAGCAAGTACCGGGAGAACATATACATGAGGCGTGGGATCAGTTCAAAGTATATTTGGTTCGGTCTCCCAATCATGGTTTTCCGGATTGTATCTTGTTGGAAAAATTCTACATGGACTTAGATCCGATGAACCAATCTATAGCCAAGAATGCAGCTGATGGATCTTTTATGGACAAGACATTCACAAGGGTCACACAGATCCTTGACAAAATGGCACAACATAATCAAGCTTGGCACTCTGAAGATACCACAGGTGGAATTTCATATGGTTCTCCTTCCTTGACCAACATAATTAAGTAGAATCAAGAGAGAGATCAAGTAATCGCAGGGCTTGCCACAAACGTTAATGTGTTGACAAAAATGTTCCCGGAAAGTCAAATAAAAAAGGTGAATGTGGTGGAGGATGTGCAAGCTATATCAAATGAAGATTTTGAGGAAGCAAGATACATCAACAGTCCTCAAGGAGGGTATCAAAGACAACAATACCAAGGTCAAGGACAACAAAATCAATGGAGGTCAAACCCGCAAGGGCAAGGAAACCAACAATGACGAAATGACCAAGGTGGCTCAAATCAAGGAAATTGGAACAACAACAACTTCTCAAACCGGAGTTCAAACCCTTACATTTCTCCAAAAGGTCAATATTCAAATTAAGGTTCCTCAAGTGAGTCTAAGTTGGAAGGTATGCTTGAACGGGTATTGCAAAATCAAGAAAAGTTTGACACTACTATGAGGAACATGGCCGAGCTTGTTGGCTCTCACACTACATCCATTCAAAATTGGAGATGCAAATGAGAGACCTCTCTAGGGAACAAAATCTAAAGCAAAAGGGAACACTCCCTAGTGATACAAATGCGAACCCAAGGGGTAGTGGGAGTGGCCCAACTTCTCATGTCATGGCAATTACTACTCGGAGTGGGAAGGTACTACAAGGAGAGGGTGAACAAGTGGTTGAAGTAGAAGAGTCCGAAGAAAGGGTTGAGGTTGAAGAGCCAAGTGTTGTCGAATTTGAGAAAATGCAGGAAGCTTTGCAAGTACAACAAGAGAACCGAGAAGAGGTAAAGGAAAAGGTAAAAGAGACATTAAAAACTCCTCCGCCTATTCCTAGACCTCCTCCTCCATTCCCTCAAAGACTCGCCAGGAAGGTTGATGATAGCAAACTCGAAAAGTTCTACAACATTCTCAAGCAATTATCGGTGAATATTCCATTTGGGGAAGCATTTCAAGAGATGTCGGGTTTTGCTAAGTATTTGAAAGATTTGATCACCAAGAAGAAAACCACTAAAAATGAAGTGGTAAATGTGACTCACCGGGTTACTTCCATCATTGCAACATCCACCGTTCAAAAGAAAGAAGACCCGGGAGCTTTCACCATTCCTTGTACCATCGGGGCACATGATTTTGCAAGAGCCCTTTGTAATAATGGAGCTAGCATCAACTTGATGCCTCTTGCCATTTACAAGAAAGAAGGATTAGGTATGCCAAGGCCCACAAGTATGAGATTGCAAATGGGCGATCATTCCATCAAACGACCGGTGGGAATTGTTGATGATGTTCTTGTGAAGGTGGGAAAATTTCATTTACCTGCCGACTTCGTAATCCTTGATTGTGTGGTTGACAAAAAGATCCCTATCATCTTGGGGAGACCATTCCTTGCCACTGGAAGAGCACTAATGGTTTCAGAATGGAATGAGATCAAATTCCATGTGAATGATGAAGAGGTTATATTCCAAGCAAGCAAGGGTATGAAACTACCGCATGAGTGTGAAAGCATCTCGGTGATCGATATTGTTGATGAAGTAGAGGATGCAGTTGAAATGAAAATGGAAGAACAATGCCTCGGCGAGGCATTGACGGCTATTTTGGTGAACTTTGATGGTGAAGATATGGAGGGGTACATGGAATCGGTAAATGCATTGGAGGGGCTTGGGTCCTACACTTATGCTCCGGCAAAGCTCTCTCTCAACTTGGAGAATAGAGCCACTCCTCCCACAAAGCCTTCTATTATTGAACCACCACAACTAGAGCTCAAACCACTTCCACCACACTTGAGGTATGAATTTCTTGGCTCAAATGATACTTTACCGGTAATTGTTTCTTCTCTGTTGAATGATTTGCAGGTAGAACAATTGTTGGAAGTCTTGAAGGAGCATAGGCAAGCCATTAGATAGACAATTGCGGACATCCGAGGGATTCTCGTGGGAATTTGCAAACACAAAATCCAATTGGAAAGCGAGAGGAAACCAAGTGTGGAACATCAACGACGGTTGAACCCGTCAATGCAAGAGGTGGTAAAGAAACAAATCATCAAATGGTTGGATGTCGGGGTAGTCTACCCTATTGCCGATAGTTCTTGGGTGAGCCCGGTACAATGTGTGCCAAAAAAGGGAGGCATGACCGTAATTGAAAATGAGAAAAATGAGCTCATCCCAACAAGAACGGTGACCGGTTGGAGGGTGTGTATGGATTATCGGAAGCTCAACAATGCTACATGTAAAAACCATTTCCCTATGCCTTTTATTGATCAAATGCTTGATCGGCTAGCGGGAAGGTCATTCTATTGTTTCCTTGATGGATATTCTGGCTACAACCAAATTAACATAGCATTGGAGGATCAAGAGAAGGCGACATTCACTTTCCCCTATGGAACTTTTGCCTTTAGCCGGATGTCGTTTGGTTTATGCAACGCTCCGACTACTTTTCAAAGATACATGATGTCCATTTTCTCCGACATAGTGGAGGATTTTCTAGAAGTTTTCATGGATGACTTCTTGGTAGTAGGTGACTCTTTTGAGCATTGTCTTAACAATCTTAGACAAGTGCTTAAGAGATGTGAGGAGACCAACCTTGTGCTTAATTGGGAGAATGCCATTTCATGGTGGATGAAGGCATTGTGTTGGGGCATAAAATTTCAAAACATGGCATAGAGGTTCACCGGGCAAAGATTGAGATTATTTACAAGCTTCCTCCACCTATTTCCGTTAAAGGTGTTTGAAGTTTCTTAGGGCATGCCATATTCTATAGGCGTTTCATCAAGGATTTTTCTAAGATTGCAAATCCTATGTGCAAACTCCTTGAGAAAGATGCCAAATTTATGTTTGATGAGAAATGCCTCAAAGCCTTTGAGGAATTGAGGCAAAGGCTCACAACGACACCTATTATTGTCACACCCGATTGGTCTCTTCCTTTCGAGCTCATGTGTGACGCCAGTGGTATCGCTATTGGAGTAATGCTTGGCCAACGTCACAACAAGGTTCTCCACCCGGTCTATTATGCAAGAAAAACACTCAATGGAGTACAAATGAATTACACGGTAACTGAGCAAGAACTTCTTGCCATTGTCTATGCCTTTGAGAAGTTCTGGACTTATTTGTTGGGATCCAAGGTGATAGTGTACACAGATCATGCTGCTCTTCGCTATCTCATGGAAAAGAAGGATGCAAATCCTCGGTTGATTCGATGGGTCTTGTTGTTGCAAGAATTTGAATTCGAGGTCAAGGATCACAAGGGAACTCAAAATCAAGTGGCGGATAATTTATCAAGGCTTGAAGAGGCAGGGAGACCAAAGGGAGATCTTGAAATCATTAATGCATTCCCGGATGAACAAATATTGGCACTATCTAGCATTTTTACTCCTTGGTATGCCGATATTGCTAACTATTTGGTTAGTGACCTTATTCCGGACGGATTGGAATCCTATCAAAAGAAGAAGTTCTTGAGAGACTACCGGCAATAATATTGGGAGGAACCATTCTTGTTCCGTGTTTGTGCTGACAATATTATCAGAAGGTGCATTCCAGAAGAAGAGATTATGCTAATTCTAAAGGCATGCCATGACTCACCGGTTGGGGGTCATCATGGAAAAAATCGAACGGCTGCTAAGGTGCTTGAATGTGGTTACTATTGGCCTTCAATCTATCATGACACCAATTAAATGGTCAGGGCTTGTGACCAATGTCAAAGTCAAGGATCAATCTCCAAGAGGCATGAAATACCAATGCACTTTGTGATGGAGATAAAAATCTTCGACGTGTGGGGAATTGATTTTATGGGTCCCTTTGTGAGCTCTTGTGGGATGAAATATATCTTGGTACCTGTGGACTATGTGTCCAAATGGGTTGAAGCAATTTCCTTATCAAACAACGAGGCGAGAAGTGTGACCACATTCTTGAAGAAGAACATATTCACTCGGTTTGGCACTCCTAGAGCCATTCTTAGTGATGGTGGGTCTCATTTTTGTAACAAGGCTTTCACGGGGCTGTTAGAGAAGTATGGTGTCAAGCACAAGGTGGCCACACCTTATCATCCCCAATCTAGTGGTCAAGTTAAGGTTTCCAACCGGGAGATCAAAAGCATTCTAGCAAAGACTATTAATGCAAACAGGACCGATTGGTCAAGGAAGCTAGATGACGCATTGTGGGCATACCACATGGCGTACAAGACTCCTATTGGTACTTCTCCTTATCGGTTAGACTTTGGAAAAGCTTGTCATCTACCGGTGGAACTGGGAGCACAAGGCCATGTGGGCTCTGAAGAGGTTGAACTTGGATTGGACTGAAGCTACGAATTTGAGGTTAACACAACTCAATGAAATGGAGGAATTCCATTTCCATGCTTATGAAAGTGCAGCTATGTATAAAGAAAGGATGAAGTTCGTCCATGACAAGAAGATCTTTAAAAAAGAGTTCAAGTCGGGTGACTTGGTTTTGCTCTTTAATTCAAGGCTAAAATTGTTTCCGGGCAAGCTCAAATCAAAATGGTTCGGTCCATTCAAAGTGATAAATGTCTCTCCTTTTGGAGCTGTGGAACTAGCATCGGAAGATAGGCTCCGGACATTCAAAGTCAATGGCCAACGAATCAAGAACTACTTGGGCACAGATGGATAAAAACATTTAGTGGAATAGTGGGCTCTCCAAGATGGTCCATGCCCGACAAATGAGTGAACAGAAACCCCCACTTTGTCGTGCTGCGACGTTAAATCAAGCGCTTCATGGGAGGCAACCCATGTGTGGTAACACCCTTTTTGTTCTTTACATTTTTAATTTTTGTTAGATAGATTTACTTGAACAATTTAAAGTGTGTGTTAGAGTGTAGGGGATTCAAAAGATCATAACACTGGGTAGGAATGCATAAGAAAGGGAAGAAAAATCACCGTGTAAAGTTTGCTGCAAATATGCGGTCGCATTTTCGCTATGCAGACTGCATTTTGGTCGCAAACCAACAGTGTGTTTGGCTAAAATGGAGGAACAAAATGCGACGAATTGGTGCACTTTGCGAACTGCATTTTCACTATGTGATCGCATAGTGCACCGCATTCTTGGTCCTTCAACAACTTACCTGAACACACCGCATAACACTTATGCGATCGCATAGTGTGTTATGCGGTGACTTATCCACTGCAAAATTCGTCAGGTATGTCTTCGCATACTTTCATCTCTCACACATTCAAAACAAAACAAAAAAAAATATTCTCTTTTATAGTAAGAAACAAAGCAAAAAAGAACGAAAAAAGGGGGGCAAACAAAGACTGAAAAGGAAAGGACAAAACCACTTGAGAATTCATCTCCCTAGTATGCTTGATCATCTTCACCGGTATGTTTCCTTGCCCTAAGTTTTTATTTTCAATATTCACATTTATCTCTCCTGTGTTTCTTTTCTATTTCCGTTCTTTGTTTTTGATTGTGTTTGGTAAGTAGTTGTTTGGCCACATTGTGATAATCTCTTGGGAAGGAAACATGTTTGGGGTGCTGGATAGAAAGAAATAGGACCACCATTGTTGAGGGTAGGATTAACTCATTTGGGAACGATCGCATTTGCGGTTCGCAAATTCAAAATGCGGTCCGCATTTCTGCCGCATAACGAACCCTAGATTGGCTAAGAAAGATGATAAAATGCGGCGAGTTTGCGATCACATAGTTTATATGAGGACCGTAAACTCACCGCATATTGACATAGTGCACCCAGTTTCACAACATGAGTTTTGCGGCCATTTTATCGCATTTCCTACTTTATGGTGGAATTTGCGATCGCATTTCATGATTTGGTTTTCTGTGGAATCAGGTTTGCGATGGTTATGCGGTCCGCATAGTGGTTATGCGATCTCATAACCCATCGCAAACTTGGATCATATCAAGAGCTTGCAAGTTTGCGACAAGTTTGCTGTCCGCATAGTGGTTTTGCGACCGCATACCTGTCGCATTCTTAACTTCTTCTTTGGTTTTTTTTTCTGTTTTCTGTTCACTGTTGCTTATAATGTCACTCACATTTCTCTTTCGAGCAGATATGGCTCCCAAGAAACATGCATCCTCTGCACTGAAAAGGGCATCCTCCAGTCATCAAGCGTCACAAGCAAAACGTCCACGACCAGATCCTACTACGGCACGTCCCTCCCAGTCTGATGAGGAGGAGACATTGCCTTCAATAGACCTACAGGAAAAGGCAAGAAGAAAGAGGGGAGATGACTACCAACTTTGATTTGCAGTCGAGGGTTCTAGGGAACTCTATAGAGAAGGACTAATAAAGAGAAAAATCCTTGCCGAGAAACAAGTGAGCATGAACGGACTTAAAGAGCAGTACCCCCACATTTGGGAGAACATCAAAGCTAGAAAATGGGAGTGCTTCACTGAGCTGCCAGATGACTACAATAAAACCCTAGTCCGTGAATTTTATGCCTCATACGGAGCTTCCAAGACTGCTCACCACAAGTGCAACAGAGTATTCTGTGATACTGTGTTATTTCGGGGGAAAGACGTGAGTTGCAGTGCTAAGACTATTAATAAATTTTACATCCCTGACTGGAGCCCGGGAACAGCTGAGTACCAAGCCAAATGGGTAAACCGGGAGGATGAGCGGAGTTGGATAACATCTGTGATAGCAAAGGGGACCCCTGCTTGGATCAATCCTGTGCACAAAATAATCAAGGAGGATCTCACACGAGAGGGTTGATTTTGGCTTAGTTTTGTTACCACTCGTCTGATACCGTCCATAAATGAGACTGACATAAGCATTGAGAAGGCTCTTCTCATCGCATGCATTATGACGGGAATCAAGATCGATGTGGATGCCCTGATCTTCCAAGAGTTAAGAATCCGAGCAAGGCAGACAACCACTTCACTGCCATTCCCTTGTTTGATCACAACTCTCTGCAAGGCTGTGAACTTCCCACTCATGT